CACTGCCACCAGCCCTTGGGGACAGGGACACCAGCCCTGACAGTGTGACACTGCCACCAGCCCTTGGGGACAGGGACACCAGCCCTGACAGTGGGACACTGCCACCACCCCTTGGGGACAGGAACACCAGCCCCTCAGTGACAGGGACACCAGCCCTGACAGTGGGGCACTGCCACCAGCCCCTCAGGGAGAGGGACACCAGCCCTGACAATGAGGCACTGCCACCACCCCTTGGGGACAGGGACACCAGCCCTGATAATGGGGCACTGCCACCAGCCCTTGGGGACAGGAACACCAGCCCCTCAGTGACAGGGACACCAGCACTGACAGTGGGACACTGCCACCAGCCCTTGGGGACAGGGACATCAGCTCTGACACTGGGGCACTGCCACCAGCCCCTTGGGGACAGGGACACCAGCCCTGATAATGGGGCACTGCCACCAGCCCCTTGGGAACAGGGACACGAGCCCTGACATTGCTACAAGGAGGCAGGACCGTCCCTCCTGCCAAGCTGGGCACGATTTGAAGACCAAGAGCACGAGGAGAGGCCCCAGGAGCTCTGCCTGATCTGTGACCCTGGGAGCAATCCCTCCAAACCCAGGGAAGCAACAGGACCCGTCTGTTTCCCTCTCTGGCAGCCCGTGGGTGTTAAAGCTGCAATTCCCCATATCCCAAGCTTCTTCTCCTCAGCACAGTTTTTTCTGTAAATCTTTGAGGTTTCACCCTCAGCCCCGGGACCAGAGTCAGACCCAGCCTCACCTGAGCAGCTGTGCAGGTGCAGCCTGGGAGAAGCAGAGCTGGAATTCTCTATCTCCCCTCCTTTCCCTCCTTATCTTCGGGCCCCTCTGGATGCCGAAGCCTGCAGGTCCGTGCAGCCCCCCCGCCCCCGGAGCCGGCTCCCACACCTGCCTGGTCCTGCCCGGAATTCCCCATTGCGGGATCGCTGCAGGCACACCCCACCCTTCCTCCTTCTCCTCTTCCTCCCACGGCTGCACAGAGCACCCCGCACCTGTGTGGAGAGGGCTGATCCCAACCACAGAGGGCTGATCCCACCTAGAGAGGGCTTATCCTACCCGGGGAGGGCTTATCCCAGTTGGAAAAGGCTCATCCCAGCTGCACAGGGCTCATTCAACCTGGAGAAGGCTCAACCCAACCTGGACAGGGCTGATCCCATTTGGAGAGGGCTGATCCCAACCTGGACAGGACTGATCCCATTTGGAGAGGGTTCAACCCAACCTGGACAGGGCTGATCCCATTTGGAGAGGGCTCATCTGACCCAGACAGTGCTGATCCCATTTGGAGAGGGCTCATCCCAACCTGGACAGGGCTGATCCCAACCCGGGCAGGGCAGTTTCCCCCTCCTCCATCCCTCCCAGCCCCGCTGCCCCCACTCACGTCAGTGTTGCAGGAGCGGTAGCGTTTCCTCTCTCCCAGGCAGTACTTCCCTCCGATGGTGGGCCTGCCAAAGATGGAAGGAGATGCTGAACAGCTCCAGGACTGTTCAGGGCAGGTTTTTGCCCCGAGGAGCTCGGGGTGGTTGCCCCAAGTGGTTTTCCCAACCCTGCTGTACCACAAGGACTGATCCTGACTGGGCATGGCCCCTAAAATCTCCCCCCGAGTGCACAGAGGGCTTTGCACAGAGGGTTTGGGATGTGGTACAGCCCCAACACCAGCACAGAGCACAGAGCTGGACAAAGGCATTCAAAACCTGCCAAACCTTCCAGGAGGCATTACTGAAATGGAAGCAGGCCCAGCTTTATGCAGACAGACCTAAGAGCAGCTGTCACTGATGCTCAGGTGACATGAAGGGACATGCAGAGGGCTGGGGTGGCATGGAGAAGTGGATTATTGTCAGGATCTTTAATAGGATGATGTCCCTGCTCCACTGACAATGGCCTGAGGGTGCTTTTCCTTCTCTCGCTCCCTTTCCTCCCCCCACCCCCTACCAAAAATGCATGGATGGAAGTGGCAGAAATTGGTGGGTGAGCCAATTCTCCAACTGGGAAGTTTCCTGTCTCCTCAGGGCAGTGCCATCTGTGCCAGCTTTACAGCTCACTCTCTGCTGTTTCACTCCTTGCCAAGCCTCAGGCACTTCCAGGGCTCTGAGGAAGGAAGGCAGAGGCTGATAAACGAGCTGAGTGTGGAGTGCACAGGTGATGTCTCAGATTTAGCTTTTCTATTTTTCCTCAGCCTTCCCAAGGCATCACAGGCACCTGGACGTGCCTTCCCCACTGAACGAAGGGCTGGGGACACGGCAGGGCCGCGGTGACAGGGCCACCCGCACGTACCTGGGGCTGTCGCAGTGGCGCACGGACGAGGACACGCCGCCGCCGCACGTCCGGCTGCACTCGCCCCACGATGACCACGACCCCCAGGCTCCGTCCACGCCCTCCGGCCGCGTCCCGAAGGGCACACACTCCCTCTTGTAGCACCACTGCGGGGACACGGAGCTTGGGACACCGCGGGCCGGAGCCTCCGCGGAGCCAGCGCAGGGCTGGGATCTGCTTTGGTCCTCAGGAATCTGAGCTTGGAGCTGCACCGGCCTCAGAGCCAAATTCTCCAAGGCCAAAGGGTGCTCACCTCTCCTTGGGGTCAGTGGGACCAGTGTCCCCAGTCCCCGTGGCACCATCCTGGGGGACAGGCTGGCACTGGCAAGGGGTTTTCCAGAGATTGTTACCCCAGAGCAGCTGTGGCTGCCCCTGGATGCCTGGAAGTGTCCAAGGCCAGGTTGGACAGGGCTTGGGGCAGACTGGACTATGGAAGATGTCCCTGTCCATGGATGAGGTTTAAGGTCCCTCCCAGCCCAAACCAGTCTGGGATTCTCCTCTAAAGAGGTCCTGGGTCCCCATCTCACATCTTATAAAAGCCCTCGGCAGAGATCCAGGAGAAATGGGATTGGAGCTGCTGCTGCTGGGCAGGGCCAGGATCCCTGAGGGACATTGCCACAACCACTGCCAGGACAGAGCGAGTTTTGTTTGTACTGGGAGCTCAGGTTGTGGTTCGTGTGTCCAAAATGTCCTGATCAGCAAAGAGCTCGAGTTCAAATAAAGTTTAAATTGTAATATCAACGTTGTTGTGTCATTGCTCTGCTGAGGATCCTTAAAGAATCCGCCTGTCCCCGTCCTACTGGGAGACAGATGCTCATGGAAAATTGCCTATGAAACATTTTCCTCAGGCCTGGCATGTGTCCCACACCCCCTGGAGTCCCCAGCGATGGGAGGGTGGGACGGTGCCAGAGCCGCCGCCGCTCTCCGGGCGCGGTGCCGGACACGGAGCCCCGGGGGCTGAGATAATCCCAGGAAGGAAGAAAGCTCTGTGTGCTCCTTCCAAGGGCTGGGAACCCACCCTGGAGCTGCTGGCACTGCCTCTCCCTGCTCCTCCCGAGCCAACTGTGCATGGGCAGCTGGGAAAAACGCACAGTGGCTTCCCAGGAATCCCAGCTCACGATCCCTGGGAGCACCAGCGCCTCTCCAAAGGGGGATCCCATGTGGAGGAGATACTCCACAATATTCCCACAGCCTGGGAATAGCTTCAATAAATCCAGGGTGTAGGAGGAGCAGGGAGTGAAGCAATCAAGGCAAAATTCATGGTCAGGGAAAATCCTGCCCTCCCCTCCCAGCTGAGTGTAAAAAGCCAAGGTTTCATCGTAGCCAGTTTTTCCCAAATTCTTCTGAAAGAAAAAATCTGGGAAAACTGGGGGAAAAAAAAAATTCCCTTTTCTCAAGCCAGCCAGGAGATCCCAAGAGATCCCAGCAGACCTGAGGACAAGGTGCTCATTGAAGGACATGGCATTCCATGACATCCTATTCCTCCTGAAACAATCCAGGGAAACTTGCTGCATTTCAGGAGCAGTGTGCCCTGACTGAGATTATCCAGGAAATGTTAAGCAGGTTCACAGTGCCAGTGACAGGAACTGTCCTGAGATGGGCAGCAGAGCCTGGGCTGCCACACCTGCTTGAGGTCACCTTGCTGCACCTCAGAGGTGACACCAAGGAGGACTTTGCTGGAGCAAGGATTTCATATTCCATATTCCACCTTCCACATTCCGCATTCCACACTCCATATTCCATAATCCACATTCCATATTCCACTTTCCACTTTCCATATTCCATATTTCACTTTCTATATTCCATATTCTATATATCACATTCCATATTCCACTTTCCACATTCCATATTCCCCATTCTATGTTCCACATTCCACTTTTCGCATTCCACATTCCATTTTCCATATTCCATATATTCCACATTCCACTTTCCACATTCCATACATCACATTCCGTACTCCGCATTCCGTATTCCACTTTCCACATTCTGTATTCCACAGTCCACATTCCACTTTCCACATTCCAGCACTGCACACCGAGCTCTGAGCAGGACTTTGGGATAATTTCTGGGCTCCTTGGCCCATCCCAGCCTCGCTCCAGGGCGCCGGGGTCAGGGCTGGGCACGCTGCTGGGTGCTCCTAAATCAACCCCACGACCTCTGCATGAACAATAATCCCGTTTTTTGGTGGAAAAGGGATCCAGCCCCTCCCAGCCAGCTCCCTGCCGTGCCCAGGGCTGCCTTACCCCCTTGTCGATGGTGTTGGTTTGGCAGATGGTGCCCTCGGCTGCCGGGATGCTGTTGGTGATGCAGCGGTTGCTTTTGCTCAGGCACCACAGCTCGCTGCAGACTTCCTGCAGACAGGGAGGTTCGGGGGGGCACGGAGGAGGGGAGAGACAAAAAACAACACCCAGATTAGGATTTGCTTGTGCCAGGGAGGCACCAGCTGGGTGGGACACGGGGACACTGAGTGTCTCCAGCATGGTGGGCACAGCGTGAGATCAAACCCTGCCAGCTGCAGCCCCCAAGGCCACTGAGAGCTGACCCCTCCTCTGGGCTCAGCCTAAGCAAACTAAGCCCAAGCACCTAAGCAAACGTTATGGGGAAAAATATTAAACTAGAAACAAGTTTCAAAAGATGAGCTCACAGAAAAGACTAGATACTTCAGAAAAATAGAACTATAAAAAATACGTTGTAGTAAGACCCACAAAGAGTAATTTTAAATAATTAGCTTTAAAGCATTTACAGTATAGTGTAGCAAAAACTGATAAGCCAAGAAATGCTTATAATGCATTGTAATAAAGAAATATTTAGCTTCTGATAGTAACAGCATAAATTATAACACTATATTAAATTATATATATCATATATATTATATTATATATATTATTTAGTTTAATAAAATAGATATTATATATTACAATATAACATAATATTATCTATACTATATTATAATAGAGTATAATATAACATAATATAGTATATATTATAACATAATAAATATAATTTAGATACTATTAATTTTGATATAATTTATATGTAATGTAAATATATATAAATAATCTATATTATCTCACCCTTCACACGAGACTAAAAATAGAATAAAATTTTTAAAATGCCTCTCAGTTAGCCCCATCTCTAAGTCAATAAAACCCCTAATCCAACCGAACAATAAAACCACAGAAAATACAACTTCAAACCAATATCAACAACTTATAAGACTTACAACAGCTTTTAAGAGAAATCAATTAAATCACACCTATTTTAAAAATTGCAAATAATGAACTTACTCCGCTTTTTAACCTATTAAGAGAGGACTGTAACATCAAATCTCCTAAAACTTTAACATTTAAAGCTCAAAAAAACCCTTAAACCCTTCTGGCTGTGATGTTCCCTGGGCTCAGGTGGCAGAGCTGACTCCAGCCAGCCCATGCCAGCCCTCCTTGGTGTCACCTTGGTGACACCTGAGCTAATGCCACTGTCCTTGTCTGTGCTGGGGTTTTCCACAAACAGGATGGGACTGCTGGGATAAAATAAATAAATAAAACTTTCTGGAGTTTTATTGTGGCATCAGCCTCATGACATGGTTGAGACAATTGGAAGATGGGAACAGCTCATGTACAGCCAGCAGCAGCCAAGGTATTGAAAGGAGGTAATTGAAAGGTAATTGAAAGGAAATATGAAATGCAGACTGAATTAAAGAAGTATAATTGCACCATAAAGTCTGATTTTTTAAATGTACTGTGAAAGGGAGCAACGTCCTTGTTCTGGGTTGAAAGACACGTGTGTATTCTGTTCCCGTCTGTCAGAGCTGGGGCAGTTCTCTGCTGTTCACGGGGCAGTTTTCTTGATCTCTCCCACAGCCAATCCTCCCTCCAGGAGATCTCTGCTGTCCATGGCCACTGAGTGTCCCTGCAGGGCTGATCAAATTCCATCATCCCATGGGGAGATGCTTCGCCCAGGGCAGGAGCCAAGCATTCCTACCTGGATACAATCTGAGCCTGGAACAGCACAGCAGCCTTTGCCCACTGCATTCCCAGAGGAGCAGCTTTCTCCTGCCCTGCATTCCCAGAGGAAGAGCAGGCCCATCTCCAGCAGCCCTGGAGCTTCAGAGGAAAACTCCAGCCTTGTGCAGGATCCCTGCTCCAGCAGAACCACAGCTGGCACTGCAGGAGGGCTGAGCCACCGTGGGATGGGGCTGTGCCACCACCCTGACACACAGGGGGTCAGGTCTATTCTGACTCTGGCAGTAGTTTGTTTCCTTTTTGTACTACTGCATTTGTATTTTTAATTTTCCTAGTAAAGAACTGTTATTCCTGCTCCCATGTCTTTGCCTGAGAACCCTCTAATTTCAAAATTATAAGAATTCGGAGGGAGTGAGTTTACATTTTCAATTTCAAGGCAGGCTCCTGCCTTCCTTAGCAGACACCTGTCTCGTCAAACCAAGACAATCCTTAACTAAAGATCAATCTTTCCTTGTATAATGAAATGATACACAATAGGTCATGTACACAGAGCCATGGATCTCTAATTTTTGAGGTTCAGAAGATGCCTTGGGAAGGTGAGGAACTCACAGTTCCCAGGCAAGCACTGGAATCCAAAGATTATTTGGAGATGATCCCATAAATGTGCCTGATACAGCTTCTTGACTATCTTTCGGTATTGGCCAAACATCCACTGGTACACCAACCAAACAGGTGGAAAATGGTTTCTCAGGGGTTGTGTTGATTTCTGTGACAAAGATTTATTTGTTAACAAAGATTTCTTGGTTACAGAGCATTTTAAACACCTTTCTAGCCAATAGCACATTGCTAAAGCCTACAGACAAAATTGTTCTAACCAATCAATAAAAGCACACAATGCTTGCTTGTCTTCTTTCTATTAACAATACACAATATTCTATTATTAAGCTTTAAACCTTCTGCTATCTTGCTAAGCATATTTTTCTGCAGTTTTAAGGTCTGTCTTAGCCAAGCTTGAATTTTAGGCTAATCCCACTGTCCTTGTGCTCACCCCTCTTCCCAGGGCTGAGGGATGCTCCCAGTTTTTCATCTGTGCAGTGGAGGCTGAGCCCATTCCTGGCTCCTGAGCATCCCAAAGCCAGGTGGATCCAGATTCTGCAGGAATCTGGGGCTCCCTGTGGGCATCCACAGCACAGCTGGTCATGTCCCTGCTCACAGTGTGACCACCGAGGTGCTGGCCACCTCCAAAGAATCCCAAATGGAAGAGTCCTCTGGAATGTTTAGAGCTGTTTTTTGAATAATCAGAATAATGCCAGATCCTGAGCCAGCCCTTCAGAACTGGGCACCTCTCGGTGTCTGCTCGGTGCAGTGGGTGGCACTGAACTCCAGACCTCTCTCCAGGAGGGTTCCTGAGCCACAGATCCTGAGCTTCAGGCCATTCTGACCTCTCAGAGCTCCAACAAACAAAAATCTTCCCTTGGCCTTCGCAGGACCCACCCAAAAGTGAAATCAGGAAGTCCAAGCCCTTCCCAGCTCCTGTGGCACTCAATGCCCCAGGCTGGACGTCAGCACCTCTGAACTGCAAAGCAACCCCTAAAATCTCATTTCCTCATTTCCTGTTCCCTTTTCAGAGTTTTCCTGGGCTCAAAGACCAGGGGATGGCAGTGAGATGGTGGCAGGGGGGTTAGGTGGGCAGCAACCTCCAGCACATCCCTCACCTCACCTGGGACAAAGACTTTTCTCTTCCTGAGTTCATAAGAGCACCACAATGACCTCTGGTGAGGATTATTGAAATTATGTCCTTGTACAAAGAGAGGGGAGCCTGGATGAGGGGGACCAGCAGCAGCCAAAGAAGAGGGAAGAAATCTCTTGCCATGGGATTAATGTGACAAAAAGTGTGCTGGGACCAACATTTATGGACAGGACCCCCTCTCCTGTGTGCTCTCCCAGGGAAGCACAGCATGGAGCTCACCAGGAGCTCAGCAGTTCCCCTGGCTTGGAGCAGCACAGTGATGTGTGTGGGAATCAGAAAAACAGAAACTTCCACAGACACAGGAGGGCTTGATCTGCAGCCTTGGAAGAAGTTTGCATTGATATAAAAATATAATACACAGATATTAAGCACAAAAATCATAAAATCATGTTCCTATAGTTGTAAGTAAGAATATGCTTTAAGTGAGAAATTGTATTGATAAAGTGGTGAAGGGTTTATAGTGTAGGAAATTGCATTGATAAGGTGGTGAAAGGTTTATAATGTAAGAAACTGTATTGATAAGGTGGTGAGGGTTTGTAAGGGGGTGGCTGTATAGAGTAGCTGAGTTTAGAAGTTATGATAGAAGCATTTGTGTGCAAGTGAGACAGAAGCCATTGGACAAAAGTATCCACAGGGCAGCAGAAGTAAAGGTGATGGGTTAGAAAAGCAAAGTAAGTTCTGTGGCAACTCTCTATTGGTTTAGAAAGTTATGTATTGTCTTGTAATGGAGAAACTTGTGACTACTTTGAGCCTGCTGCTCTAAAATCTCATGGCCTCTGAGACTGATGCTCATCTGAGCAATAAATCATTCCTAGCTTGAAAATAGCCCCATCCCTTCATTTCCAACGGTGACAGTGACAGACGTGGACAGCAGGGACAGCCCCACGGACCCTTCCTTGCCCCACGCCCCCTCCTCCAGCCCTGGGAACCGATAGTAAAGCAGGAAGGCTCTCTACCCCGTATTTACACTGGCGGGATTTGACTCCGTACTGGAAGCGGCACTGCTCGTCGGCGTCGTAGGCCTGGCCCGGGGCCACCGTGGGGTAGATGAAATCCTGCTTGGGAGGAGCGTTGTTCAGGCACAGTCCCATCCCCGAGCTGAAAGCACAGAGGGACAACCAGAGCTGAGAAAGGATGAGGGGAGAGAGAGAGAGGTGGGGGATCAGCAGCTGCTGCTCCAGGCTGTGCTGGGCTGAGCTTGGCGGCTTGAGGGGATAAATCTGGGTCTGCTCTGGGTGAGGGAAAGGGCTCTGAAATCCTTCCCAGGCTGGGAAGCACATCCTGGTTCCAAGGTTACTCTGGAAGTGTTGCTCTGAGGGTTCATAGAAACCTGGGATATCCTGAGATGGAAGGGACCCTCAGGGATGCTCAGCCCAGCCCCTGTCCCTGCCCAGCCACCCCAACAAGCCCACCCTGAGCACCCCTGGCAGCGCTGTCTAAACGCTCCTGCAGCTCTGGCAGCCTTGGGGCCGGGACCATTCCCTGGGCAGCCTGGGCAGTGCCAGCACCCTCGGGGGCAAGAACCTTTCCCTGAGCTCCATGCCAAGCCCTGGCACAGCTCCAGCTGCTCTGCAGGCTGTTGCCAGCCCCTGGTTGTCCCCATGGCAGAGTGCAGACAGCTGTGCCCAGGCAGGTGCCCAACAGCCTCAGGTGGGCACTGAGTGGGCAGAGAGGCTGCTCCCCTGCCCAGCTGTGAAGCCCTAGCCTCCCTCTCCAAGCCTGACCTCCTGCTTGCCAGAGCTTTGTAGGAACATCCAAATTTGTCCAGAAACACCTTTCCCTCCCCTTTCCTCGCTGTTCCCTGAGCTCCCCCTAAATCAAAGCTGCTGTCATCACCCCCAGTCCCAAGTCCTGCTCACACCACGTTCCACCGGAGGCTCCTGGAGCTGGGGGCGGCCAGAACAGACCACGAGGAGCAGGGATGAACTCTCCATCCTCCTGCAGCCCTGCCAGGAGCTCGGGGTCGGCAGAGGACGGGGCTGTGCCACGTGCCTTGCTGCCTGCACGGCCAGCGGGCACCGGCGTGGGGGACAGGCCTGGCTGAGGCCAAGCCACAGCTGCCAGATGTGGGATGTGCTGCTGAGCCACGAGGTTTGGCTGGGCCTTGCAGGACAGAGGGAGCCCCTCGGGGAGGAGCCGTGGCTGCTCCTCTTGCTGTGCTCCAGAAGCTGAGCTCTGCTGTTCGCTCTCCCTGGGGGCTTCCCTCCAGGCTGACCCCACACTTGTGCTGCTTCCAGTCATCCCTCAAGCCCTGCCCGGTTCTTCCTTTAGGAAGTGCCATTGTCCTACCAAAAAACCTCACCAAAATGGATCCTGAAGGATTGCTTTGGGATGGAAACCCAGGGGGCTGCCTGAAATCTGCACAGGCGTTTGATTCAGGCATGGTGACAGCCTCCAAACTCTGGGAGCCTAAATCATGGAATAATTTGTGAGGGACTTTAAAACTCATCTCATTCCATGGGCAGGGACACCTTCCACTGTCCCAGGATGCTCCAAGCCCCATCCAGCCTGGCCTTGGGCACTGCCAGGGATCCAGGGGCAGCCACAGCTGCTCTGGGCACCTGTGCCAGGGCCTCCCTGCCCTCACAACAAAGAAATTCCTCCTAATATCCAATATAAACTGTTCTCTTTTAGTTTGCATCCATCCCCCTTGTACTGTCCCTTCTCCTGAATCCTAGAAGTGCTTTGTCAGAAAAAGAAAACCAAAATCTTTGCCCTGCTTTGCTCATTCACACTGAAAACTCCTCCTCACTGCGTGGAGAAATCACCTGCACCACACAGACCTCGTCCTGTCCCCAGCACACCAAACCTTCTCTGCAATTTCTGGATTTCAGAACCAGCCAAACGCCTCCAGGGGGGACTGATCTATTTGTGAAGTTTTTGGACATGGGAATAATAAATAAATAAATAAAAATAATATCTAATATATATATATAATATATAATAAATAATATAATTAATATAATAAATAATATAATAAATAAATAAAGGTCTCCCAGCCACAGCATGAATGGGTTATAGATGTTCAACAGGCAGGAGAAACATGGGGAAGTCTAAAGGAAGGAAAGAATGTGACTCTGGGAGACAAGACAGAAGGTTCTGGGGGGTTTGGGGCTGTGCTTTGGCTTCACCCCCTCCTCACAAGAGACTGGGGGAGGCTGCAGGAAGGGCAGGGAGGGGTGGATTCCTTACTCCAGGAAGCTGGTGATGTAATCCCTGCTGCAGGTGGACCACACGAAGGGGTTGGTCTTCATGGTGATGTGAGCAGCCATCAGCTTGGCCGTCTCCTGCCCCCGCGAGCCGCAGCTGTTGCCGACCCCGTCGTGGTTCATGCCAAACCTGGAGAGCACCACAGCACACAGGCTTGGGGAAAATGACTTCCTCCTTCATTTGTTAAAAAAGTTACTCAAACGAATCTTTTGTACAATTTAACAGCAGCTCTAAAGTATGTTCAAACTGTTTTAATTAAAGAAAGTGAATTTTTTCAATTGTTTAAATTCCTTGTGTTAGATTATTAATGCATCTTATGACTGATAATCTAATGACAAACTTAGCTTCCTTTATGAAACAGATGTTTCTCAATAAGGAAATAAAGATTGCAGATTTTTTTCCCTAAGCCCTAGTTATTGGGAAAATTCATCATCCAGCTGGGGTTGGACACACCTGGATGGTCCACAGGAAGGGTTTTCAGCCTGTGAAAAACACCTTCACTCTGCTGTGAAAATTTAAGGAGTTGAATGAAGGAAGGGTTTTCAACCTGTGAAAAACACCTTCATTCTTCTGTGAAAATTTAAGAAGTTTAATAAAGGACAACAGGAGACAAGGACCATAGAGCAAAGGTTATTACTTGCATTCAGCCAAGAGCACCCCTTTATCTTTGGGGATACCCCTTAAATACCTTTTCCCTTACATCAGCCCTTTGCTTATTCATAGACCCTTATGCATTGTAAACTTTCCACAAACGAGTTTACATGTTCCAAGAGCTGTTTTAGCATGGCTCCTCCTTGGATCCACCTTTTTAGAGCACGTACATTCCTTGGCTGTGGTTTTAGGCCTTTTTTATCACCTCCAGTTTTTGGTCCACACTGCCTTCAGACAGTGCTGATAGTTGGCAGATCTGTAGCAGGTGTCTTCATTATATTTTTATTGGATGTTATCCATCCAAGCAGGCATTTTAACACAAGCACACCTACATCAGCTATTTCACTAAGCTTAATTAACAACAGAAATAAAAACTGTATCTTTACAACAAAGTTACTTTAACACCACACATATGAAATCCATTTAAATATTTGCAAAAAGCCAATATTATCTATTATATTATATATTATATGTGTCTGCAACAAGCCCCTGGAGGCAGGGACAGAGCAGCAGGAGCTGCAGGGGTGCTGCACTCACGTGTGGCCGATCTCGTGGGCGATGGTGAAGGCCGTGGCCAGCCCGATGTCCTCGTTGATGCTGCAGCTCCTCTCCCGCTCACACATCCCCCCCACGGGGGCCAGGCCTGGGGAGGGGACAGAGCTGTCACACAGGGCCACCACAGGGTGGCTGAGGGGACCTGGGGGTCTTTGGGGGCTGCCTGATGTGCTCCATGCTCTGTAACGCAGAGCAGCGGTGTTCACAGAGAGCAGCAGGCACAACTTTCCCAAGGATTTCCCACGGATTTTTCCTGGGGAAGGCAGTGGGAAGCTCAGAGGAGAAAACAATTCTTGTCTCTCTTTGCTGCTCCTGTTGTTTGGCACGTGTGGAATGTGTTATGGAGATTGTTCACCCAAAGCAATTTGTTAATTGGACTCTGGTGATGGTTGTTTTGACTCCTTGACCAGTTGGATCCACATGTGTTGTCACTGTCTGGTGACAGTCACGGGTTTTTCTTTAGTATTCTTTAGTACAGTATCTCTTGAGTATGTAATTTAGTATAGTATTAGTGTAATGTAGTATATCTTAATAAAGCAATTGTTCAGCTTTCTGAAATCATTGGAGTCAATGCACATTATTCCCCGGCTGGGGGATCATCTGTTTCTACTCTAAGCAGTTCCTTCTCACCATTGCACTGGGCTTTGGGATGAACTTGTGGCTCTTACAGGACATGGTCACTCAGCACTGATGGTAAATTAACAGTGACAGGCTCAGAAATGCCAAAAATCCTCTGAATTTCATGTCCAAATGGTGCAAAGGAGAGCAGTCCTTGGCACACCCCTGGTGAGGGAATCTCAGATGGGCTGCACCAGCTCTGGGGCATCCAAACCTGGCCAGGGAGAGCTGAGCTATCCAGGATCCAACCTTGGTTCTGCCTGGAACCCACCAGGAATCCAGCATGGCTCATTTGGAGGACTGGGTGATGCTGGAATTCCCCCGAATTGTGACAGCAAATTCCCTCTGCACAAACTGTACCCCTGCCCCAGGCCAGGGGAGGGTCTGGCTCTGCCAGGGGAATGATTTGAGCCATCCCAGCACACCCAGCCTCAGGTCAGAGATCCCCCAGCTCTCTCCATGGTGATGCACAGCAGAAATCCCTCCCTGCCTGCCCAGTCCAGACCAGGAGACAAAGGAGGAGCTGCAGCCAGACAGGGCTGCAGGGTCTGGCTGTGACAATAAAAACTCCCTTTGCAGTCATCACAAAAATGTCAGATTTCTCCCTGCTCAGCCAGGAACTCCAGCAGGCCACGGACAAGCCCTAAAAATGTGAGTGGCTCTTAATCAGCAGGCTGGAGTTGGAGCTGTTCCAGGGATGGAGCAGAGGAGTTCCAGGGCTCAGTCAAGCTCAAGGCTGCTGGTTTAGTGTTCACAGAAGGGACAGGAGGCTGGAAAGCACTGGTCTGGTGCTGGGGCAGGAGCTGCACCTTTATTGGGAAGGGATGGCACAGCTGGAAAAGGATGGCACAGCTGGAAAGGGGATAACACAGCTGGGAAAGGGAATGGAACAGTTGGGAAAGCGGGTGGCACAGGTGGAGAAGGAATGGCACAGGTGGAAAAGGGGAATGGAACAGGTGGGAAAGAGAATGGAACAGCTGGGATGGGGATGGCACAGCTGGAAAGGGGGTGGCACAGCTGGAAAGGAGGGGTGGCACAGCTGCAAAGGGGTGGCACAACCCATCCTCCTCACACTCCCAAAGTTCTGTGTACAGCTGGGGGCTGCTGAGGGAGTGTCAGAATTTTACTCACCCAGGGTGCCACAGGGCTTGTTCTTGTAGATGCAAATGTCGTACCTGGGAAGGAGAGATAGCAGCGTTAAGGACACTTCTGATTTTGGGGGTTGTCATTTTGCCCATGTGTTCACATCCAAACCACTCCAAATCAGCCCATGAAATATTCTGGGATGGAAATACCAGTGGTGACAGGTAGGACAACACTCACTCTGCCCAGGCTGAGATTCAGTGAGGGTTTTAATGACAGAGCTGAGCCAGGTCAGAGGTTTGGTTTTGATGAAATATGGTGGTAGAGCAGGAGCAGGGAAGGGAACGGAGCTGGGGAAGGGCCTGGAGCACCAGGAGGGGCTGAGGGAGCTGGGAAAGGGGCTCAGCCTGGAGAAAAGGAGGCTCAGGGGGGATCCTGTGGCTCTGCACAACTCCTGACAGGAGGGGACAGCCAGGGGGGTTGAGCTCTGCTCCCAGGGAACAGGGACAGGAGAGAAAACAGCATCAAGCTGTGCCAGGGGAGATTTAGATCAGATTTTAGGGAAAATTTCTTCATGGAAAGGATTATCAGGCATTGGAACGGGCTGCCCAGGGCAGTGGTGCAGTCGCCACTCCTGGAGGTGTTAAAAACATGAGCAGATGTGGCACTTCAGGATGTGGTTTTGTGGGCAAGGGGATTTGGTCAAAGGTTGGACTTGATGACCTTGGAGGCCTTTTCCACCCTTAATGATTCCATAAAGCATTCCTTGTCCATCAGCAGGGACAAGGTTATTCCTTGTCCAAGGTTATGCCAAGGTTATTCCAGACCTGGAACTCTTTGGGTTTGGGTGGGTCCAGCTCTGCTCCCCAGCACTCCTGGGAGGCATTGGGCACAGGGGGGAGAGGACAGGGCCAACCTCTGCTCTGTCAGCTCAGTGTCTTACAGGAAATTGCATCAATCAAACAGAAAAACACAGAATCCCAGCATGGCTTGAGTTGGAAAGGACTTTAAAAATCATCCCATTCCACCCCCTGCCATGGCAGGGACACCTTCCACTACCCCAGGGTGTTCCAAGCCCCGTCCAGCCTGGCCTTACACTGCCATATGAAATTCTGATTAAAAACAAAATACAAATAAAGAAAACATTTCAGTTTGAAAACATGTTCCATTTCAAATCCCACTGTGGTTTCATGAAAAGGCTCAAGTGGTTTTTTTATATCTACATTTTTTTTTTCTAGTTCAGTTCTTTACTGAGAATTTTCCAAACAAATCCAATCTGGGTTGATTCAAGGTAACTCTTCCCTCTGTTCCTGGCCTCGCTCGACTTTCAGCCATTGCATGAAGGAATCCACTGTTTGTACCAGGAAAGGTAAAACAAGGAGAGCAAAAACCTCCTCCAGATGGAAATGCAGCATCCTCAAAATGGGAAGAGGTGGCAGCTCCAAATGAGACCAGTTTGCGTTAGAGAGGGAATACTCTCATTTCCTGGCAAAGATCAACATTTGGAGTTCGCAAATCTGGGCTGAAAGGGGCTGAGAGCTGGGGACGGTGGGGTCAGCTGGGGGACCAGGGGGCAGCTGGGCTGGGCTGGGCTGGCTGGGCTGGGCCACCCTGGAGCCAGGTTGGGGTTGCACCCAGGATTGTGACCCCAGAGCAGGTCTGGGGACACCCATGGGGTGGGGAGGACCGAGGACTGTGACCCCAGAGTGGGTTTGGGGACACTCATGGGGTGAGGCTTGAGGATTGTGACCCCAGAGTGGGTTTGGGGACACCGGGCAGGACCCCCCGGCACCACTTCCCCCACTGAGGGTGGGCGATGAGAAGTGGCAGCACACGAAGGGTTAAGTGCGACGCATTCCCGGGGATGGCTCCTGTCCCTTTGGCCCCTGGAAGTGCCCAAACCTCTCCCCACCTCTCGGCAGGAAATCGAGCGAGTGCAAAACATTTGTTGCTTTGTTTTGAGCGAATGCCTTTAAAGCCTTCGGAGGCTCTGCTTTGACACGTCCCTGCAGGAGAAAAAAAAAAGCCCCGAGCTCAGCAAGATCTTATCGGGACACCGGGAATTTACTGGGGCCGGGGCCGGATGCGCCGGGCGCTGTCCAGGCTCAGCCAGCGGCTCCGGGCTGGCTCGAACATCTGGAGGGAGGACGGAGAGCTCGGAGCCGGCGTTTGCATCCCACACGTGTGGAGGGAGGGCAGGAAAAAGCTGCAGCCCCCTCGGGAGGGGGAAAATCTGGGGCTGAGGGGCCCCTTTGTTGCTCCTCTGTGGGTTCTCAGCCGTGGGGTGTTCCAGGCTCGTGCTGGAGCTGGGGCAGGAGAGCAGCACATGGAAAAAGGAAGCAGCTCCCACCTGGAGGCTCCCCTCACCAGCACTTTCATTTCCTGACATTCTTCCTCTCTGAAGGAGAGGGGGGGAAGGCACAAAATTGTGTTGGATTTGCCTTTGACCTCTCCCAGGGTGTTTTGTGTGTCCAAGCAGGGATTTGTGGGGACTGGAGGGACAATCCTGGACAGCCAGCAGCACTTGGGGAGCTCAGCAATCCCTGTGCCTCCATGCCTCCAGCATCCTGTGGCCTTCCAGCTGCTCCGCCATTCCTTCCACTGTCCCTGTCATCCTCTGTATGTCCTCCTTCTGACCGACCATCATCCATCCCAGCAAAGACCAAGTGAAGACCGGAGGGTGACGACAAACTGGAGTGGAGATTGATAAGCTGAACTGGAGGGTGATAACAATGTGAACTGCAATAATCTGTACCCATGGAGGCTCAGGAAGTCTTGGATGAGCTTGGAGCCCAGGACAGCTGCCACCCCTGGGGGACAGAGCTCACCTGGTGATCAGCACGGCGGTGTCGTGGTTGGCGATGCCGTTCTCCGGGATGGCGTTCCCGTTGCCGTTCCTGTTCACTATGGATTTCTGCCATTTGCAGAAGCTGTCCAGGGACTTCCCAGCATGGTGGTTGATCTCCAGCGTGGGCTGGAATGGAAGCAATGGCAGAGTGTGTTCCCAGGAAAGCTCTGGTGGGAAGGCACTGCCCATTCCATGCCAGCAGAGCACTGACACCACTGCAGACAGCCCCAATTCCTCATGGAGACCATGGGAAAGCAAGAAAAGTGGGACTTTATTGAGTCTTAACTTCTTTTTGCCAGGGTCGGGATTAAAGCACAGGATGGTATTTCTTGTTGGGACTCAGATGTTTATCAGTTCTTATCTATGTCACAGTCTCACAAACCCTGAGTTCTACTTCACTCTAACAAACTGAAAATGGAGCCCCATCTCTCTCTCTACAAGGCCTTTTGAGGATAAACTGTCCAATTAAGAAATGACACCTGAATTATTTTCACTTTTAACCCAATAACCAACCACCCGTGCCCGCAATGTGGACTTTTTTATCCAATTACTCAAAACCACCCAAACCCATGGAGAAGAAGGTGAAGGAGAATAAGAAGGAGGAGGAGGAGAAGAAGGACGAGAAGGAGGAGGAGAAGGAGGTGAAGAAGTAGGACCAGCCTTCACCTTAAAACCTCCATCTTGCTTTATATATATTAGTATATTCTAAACCCTTCAACTCTAAGTTTTCCCCCCTGTGATATCACACACTTCTATTCAAACTCCACACCACAATCCCAGTTCTATCATTCCATTTTGGAAGCCTTCTCCACCTCAGGTCAGATGCAGTGTTCTCCTGGGGGTCAGTGCCTGGCAGCAGAGAAAGGCTGAAATTCTCAGCAGCCAGGGTTCCAACATCACTTTAGGAGAACTAAAGCTGCTTAAACCTCCCTAAAGTCACCTTATCATGGAAAATTCAGATTCCCAGAGGTCTGCTCAGCCCAGTCCTCAGGGGTCATTGGGAATTCCTGGGAGTGACATCCGGGGGGACACACATCTCCTGAAGGGAAATGCAGACACAGGACAGGCTCAGCAAAGCCCAGCTTACCTGATCCTCGGTGAGCAGGATCAGCCGGGTGACCAGGATATTGACAATATTGCCCAGACTCGAGTCCTGGAAAAGTTTGGCAACCTGACCTCCAAGAAACAAGAAAAGAGGAGTCTTAAAAATGAGCTCTGAGGCCAGGTGAGTTGGGGAGGGCTGGGCACAGCAGTGGGGGGTCTGAACCCAGCATTTTTGGGAAGCAAGGATGGGAATGGGACCCCACACCACCACTTGAGTAGCAGAATCCCCTAAACCACAGTCAGGGTCCGATGTCCCAGAGCAGTGAAGCCAAAATCCCGCAGCCCAGGTGGGCAGCCCCCACTGCTGGCATTTTGTGCAGCCCCAGGGATGGAGCTTTGCTGAGGAGAGGACACAGCATCCCTCGGGGATCGAGAAGGCCACAGCATCCCCCAGGAATGTTTCGGAACAGATGAAACCGGGATTGTTTGAAAGTCTGTCGTCGGGCTTTAGAAATGCAAAGCATGAAAAGCGATCCTGCGGAGGACGGGACAAAGAGCCGTCACAGAGGGGCTTTCAGAGGGATGATGGATAATTTCCAAGCCCAGCTCACCTCACAGGAGGATCCAGCACGGCCAATTCAGGCTGTTAATGCATCCAGCCTGGTACCCTGCCGCCAGCAGTGCCCCAAACCAGAACCACAGCTCAGGGGGATTTCGGAGCCCCTCTCTCTGCTCAGCCCCCAAGCGTGAGAGCTGCCTGTCCTTCTGCTTTCCCATGTGTTTCTCAGCTTGCCTGGCCGCATTTGCAATGCTAATTTGAGCTGAGAGATGCTGTTCAAAGGAAGGCTTTTGTTCTCCCGGCCCGGGTTCAGACAGGCCAGAGTTTACCTCTGCAGGCTCCGGGGTCCCACCCCTCAGCAGCAGCAGCCTGGCAGGAGTTTTGACCCCAAAACCTTGCTCTGAGCCTGGGGAGAAGCCACTGCCAGCCTAGAACCGATCCCATTTCCCCATCCCACTTCATGCTTTTCCCAACACGGACTTTTGGGGTTGAGAGGAATAGCAGATTTGTCTTTACAAACAAGCTGTGGGGCTGCTGGTAGATAAAGCCAGCACTGAGAGATAAAAGAAACAATGGGAGGGATTCCACTGATGGATGAATAGAAAAAGATATTTACCTCTACAAACAAACTGTAGGTTTGCTGATAAATTAAATTGGATATTGAAAGATGAAAGAAACAATGGATGAAAAAACGTAAATTCCATAAGAACTAAAAATTAAAAAGGAGGGTTATACATTAGCGGGGAATCTTTGGTATCAGGTGTTCCAGGAAGTCTGTACCTCTCAAGTACCCCAGCCAATGGGGAAAGAGAGAAGGGAAATTGGGATAGAAAGGATGCTGCATCCTCCAAAAATTTGAGAGACGCCAGGGGAATGCCTCATGGCCTCTCCCTTTATTCGAATAAAGCAAAAGGACTCCTCTGTCTCCTTTTTGGACACAAACCTCTGACATTTGTGGATCGATTTTCCTGACAGGGCCATGAGCAGGAGCTGTCCCCCAGCCCGCGAGGCTCCTGGTGTGGCTATAACACTTACAATATTCATGATGGCCAGGATGTACTGCTCGATGTCCCTGCGGCCGTGGTAGCCCACCATCATCTTGTCAGCCACCACCAGCGTCTCCACGTAGCGCTCGGTGCTCACCGACCTCTTCAGGGGCAGCTGGCCCCGCTGGCTGTGGTTGCCCGGTGGCTTCAGGGGGGAAGGTTTCAGTGTCCTGAGCCACCAGTGCCTCCCCTTCCAGGGCTTCTCGTCTGAGGAGGGAAAGGGATGGTTGGTGAGGACGCAGTCCCCAGCTCTGCCTGCAGACCAGCGGACAGAGCTGCATCACCCTCCTCCTCCTCCTCCATGCCACTCCTGGGAGCAGACAGCGGCGTGGGCACGACCCCTCGGTTTCTCCCCACCTGAGCTGAATCTCTTTAATAAAGGCATTAAAAAGGAGAAAGATCTCCTGCCCATCCATTTCAGTTGTGATGGCCTCGGGCTCGCAGGGGCATGGGGAGGGTTTGAGGCCACGGAGGAGCTCTAAAGATGGACCAGGGGAAGTTTAGGCAGGATGTCAGAAAAGAATTCTGCACTCAAAGAGTTGTTGGGCAATGGAGTTGTCTGCCCAGGAGGGTGGTGGAGTCACCGATCCTGGAGGGGTTTAAAAAAGCCTGGAGGTGGCACTCAGTGCCAGGGTTTAGCTGATGGGGAGGTGCTGGATCACAGGCTGGACTGGATGATCCTAAAGGTCTTTTCCAACCTCGTTCATTCTGTGATTCTGTGATTTCTGGGTGGACCCAGAAATGTCCCAAAGGCAGTCCAGGGCTGTCCCCAGGCTCCTGCCAGCCCTGCTAGCATCTCCCCTGCCCTCCTGTCCCCTCCTGCCCAGCAGATCCGTGCCCAGCCCACTGCAGCCCCAAACCCCTCCAGGCTGCACAGCCCTGCCCTCACCTCTGGCCCAGGGTGGGCTCAGAGACTGCACAGCCATAACCTGGAAATGAAGCCCTTGCAGACCCTTTCCTCTTTCCTTTTCCTGGAAATTCCTCTTTCCTTTTCCCAGGAAAGGACCTGGATTTAGGACTTGGCTTTTCCACCACAGGAAGGGCTGCAGTCTCTGCAGCAGCAGCAGCTTTGTGGGACCTTGCTTCAAGTGCTGCTGAACTGAGCCTGGGGATGTTCCCAGCAGAGCCATCAGCTCCAAACTGCCCTCCTGGAGACCAGAGGACAGGGGAGGTGACTGGGAGCCAGTCACCTGGCTAGCAGCCAGATCCAGCCCTGCCAGCAGATCCAGCTGGATCCTTTCCCCTGCTCTGAGGTTCATCACATCCAGTGAGGCTGGGAACATGGACAGACCTCAGGCAGCCCCAAAACCTCCCAGCTCCAGCTCCTGCAGCGATCCATGGGAGCTCCTGGGGCTGTTCAGGGCCCAGGAGTGCTGGGCAGGGCAGGACACGTCCAGCCAGTGGGGTGAGGGGATGGGGTGGCCTCGCTGGAGCCATTGTGCTGTGGTTGTTCTAAACTTTGGCTCCCCCTGCACATCTCTGCTTTCCAAGAAGCAATTAGGAGAGGGCTAAATTATTTCTGGAAGCTGGGGAATGTGGCAAAGAGTCAGCAGGAGGGGAGTCTGCATCCAGCAGACCTCGGGAGCCAGGATGGGCAGGGGAAGCACAGGGACAGGGTGGCTCCAGAGGTGCTGGTGGCTCTGGGGACACTCAGAGAAGGTGACAGTGCCTTGCAGCAGTGACTCCTCATCTGGCCAAGTGTCACTGCTGGGGCAGTGGATGGACACATCCTGAAGTGACACCCAAACAGGAGCAGTCAGGGCTAGCTCTGCTCTGTTCCCACAAACTGATCCAGGAAAAGCCCTTGTGCAGGGATAGCATCTCCCCTCAGCCCTACAGAACAGAACCTCTCTGGACTGAGGGAGGGGCATCCTCTGGGCCTGTAACATTTTGGGTAGATGGTGAAACTCTGCCTGTTCACTGGGATCCCAGCCAGACTCTGGGACAGACTGGTGGGAAGGGCAAGGACCAGGATGTCTCATGGGGAGAGGCCAGGGCTGCTATTTGTGGGTCCTCTTGGAGGTCAAAGCCCTGTAGGTGCAGAAATGTTGATGTGCTGTCACCATTGTCCCTAAACATCTCCCAGAGCCCCCTGTGATGGGCCAGATGCTGCATCCCCCCCTCCAAGGGCCTTTTCCACCTGGTCCCCATCAGCAGCAGAGTTATCCCAACATGGACACAAACCCCAAAGCCAAGGCTGTGCTGAGCACACGTGAGCCGCGATTTCCCAATCCTCTGCAAATTGGCCAAATCTGGGAGGATTCTTCTGAAGAAAAACAAGAGGTGGTTTTTTTCCTCTTCTATTCCATGCTCTATTTACAAATTTTCAAGCCCTGCTGCGAGGAGGAGAGGACGGGAACTTCCCAAAGCCCAGGCCACCAGAAATGGGTAAAAGTAAACCCAAGAATATCTCAAATTCAGGAGATAAATTTCGTTCTTTGCCACATGGAGCAGAGTGAGCCTGTTCTGCCAGGATTTTCCCATCGTGTTTTGGGCTGGATTTGAGGAGGAGGGGTGGGAGCACCTACCCAGCACTCCACAGGCTGCATCCATGTGAGGGTACTGCAGGGACGAGCGCTTGTACACCACGTGGGGGCTGCCCTTGCCCTCTCCCCCCATGCTGACGTTGGCTCCAGGGCTCAGGGGCTCGATGAAATATTCCTCCTCATCTGCCACGATCACCCCGTGCTGCAGGAGGGAACAGAGGGTGTGGAAGAGGTTTTACAGCCACTTCTGGGAGCCAGAGAGAAGTTTGATCAGAGGATCCAAGTTTACCCCTGAAAGAATTTTCTAACAACGTCATTGACAGAGAAACCAAGAAAGAAAGAAGGATAAATAAGAGAAATCTGCAACTATTCCAACAAGCACTTTGTTTGTCTCTTGTCACCAATGAATAAAGTGTAAACATATGAGCTTTGTAAGAATGTATAAAAAGCATGCATGCTAGATTAAAAACAAGCTTGAAGCCTTCTGAAAATGGAGTGTGTTGCTTTGTACTGTCTCTGTCTCAGCTACAGCAAGAGGGGAGGCAATAACAGAGGTGCACAGAGAACCTGGTGGCTCCTCATGGTGAGGCTGTTGCCGATTAACCCCGAATTTCTGGTTACTGACAAAAGCTGTGGAGGAATCCTGCACAAACACTGAACTACAGGAAGCCACAGAGCAGAGGAAACCCAGCCAGATGGTGGTGGATGCCTTGGGACATCTGTGTTCACTAAAGTCCTCTGGAAATCACAGCCTTGCCTTGCTGAGTTCTGAATGAGTTGTTTCCTATTCCACCCACTCGGTCGCAGTGGGATCCCTGTGGGATCCCAAAAACCCGTTCAAACACAGCAGCACTCAGCTCTGAGCTTGGCCTCCCCAGAAAACCTTCCCAAGCAGCTCAGGACCATCCCCAGCAGCTGGGAACTCGGAGCTGCAGAGAGAGGTAAATACCCAGAGGCTTTGGGAAACATGCCAAATGTTAAAATCTGAAGGCTGATGAAGCAGAGGCCACCAGCAGAGCCAAACCCCTTCTCTGGAGCCTGGATGGGGCATCCCAGCCCCTTGTACACCTCAGATTGGCCATTTCAGTGAGATCATCTCGGGTTTGCTCCCTGATTTGCTTTAGTTTTTTATTCTTTGCCTGACTCAGTCTCAGCTGTGAGCCCAGGCAGTGACAGCCAGGAGGAGCAGATCCCCATGGGGTCATCACCAAACCCACCAGGTACTTGCAGGGTCCCTCCTCTCCACCCTCACAGCGACATTCCCCCTGCCTCAAAGGTCTGGGCAACACCAAAAGTTTCTGGGAGCCCAACACCAACTCCATCCCAAATCCTGGCACTGAGTTTCTCCAAGGAACGTGGTGTCCACATCAGCTGAACTCCACCAGCAAGCAACTGAGGCACAGAAATGTGCCTGACGTGCCTCAAACATGATCCCAAAAATCCAGCACAGCTCTGGGTGCAGACAGAGCCCTGCCCTGCCACCAGCGGTGTCCTTTGGATGTGACAGCGCTTGTCCAGCTCCCTCTGTGCCCCAGGGACAGCAGCGCTGCTCTGCCAGGGTGGGGAGCAGGGAATTCTGTCCCTGTGAGACATCCTGAGGCTCCTCCATGGAGGGACCCCTGGAACAGCTCCTGTGCCGGCTGTGGGTGGGGAGAACCTCTCCTGGGGACTGTCCTCCCTGCCGGGGCTGTCCCTGTCCCTGTCCCTGCCCAGCACGGAGCTCAATGGGGCAGTGTGAGCAGTCCCGGTGCCGCGGGATTTCCTCCTGCCCCGGGCTCTGCTGCTCTTGGCTCTGCTCCACCTTTTCAAACACAAGCGAGGCACTGTGAGGTTCCCGTGGCCAGAGCCAGCTGGAAAGGCTCTGTGGGATGGGGGGAAGGAGGTCACCCCTGCCTGGGGGCAGAGCGAGTCCTGCCCTAAATCCATCCCGCTGCAAAAGGGATGTTCTCAGTCCAGCCTCTGCAGAGGCTCCACGCCTGCCTGGCACCTTGCAGCAGCAAGGCCTGGATGTCACAGGAGTCTGAAAATTGTCCCATTGCTGAACCCAAGGACTGAGCTCTGAGGGGCAGGCGCTGGACGTGACACAGGGCTGGTGGAGGGGGTGGTGAGAGGTCCTGAGAGAGCTCTGTGGTTTGTGGGGGAGCTGGACTGGATATCCTGTGTGTGATTCACACAGGTCAGCTGCAGAGCAAGGAGGGTTTGCACAGTCAGCTCATACCACACTTGACAAAGGCACAGCCACGGCCTGGGGCCAGAGCCATGTGACAGCGGGGCCATCTGGGTCCATCCCCCTCATCTGGATCCATCCTCCTCATCTGGGTCCATCCCTCTCATCTGTGTCCATCCCCCTCATCTGGATCCATCCTCCTCATCTGGGTCCATCCCTCCCCATGTGGGTCCATCCCTCCCCATGTGGGTCCATCCCTCTCATCTGGATCCATCCCCCTCATTTGGGTCCATCCCCCTCATCTGGGTCCATCCTCTTCCTCGCCTTCTCATCTGTCCTGTGAGGCAGTGACAGCCAGGAGGAGCAGATCCCCATGGGGTCATCACCAAACCCACCAAATACTTGCAGGGTCCCTCCTCTCCACCCTCACAGCGACATTCCCCCTGCCTCAAAGGTCTGGGCAACACCAAAAGTTTCTGGGAGCCCAACACCAACTCCATCCCAAATCCTGGCACTGAGTTTGTCCAAGGAATGTAGTGTCCACATCAAGGAATGTTGTGCCTGGGTCCCTCCAGGCACTTCCTGGGCTCAGGGGGCTCCCCAGGAAAGCTGCCCCTGGATCCCTGGAAGTGTCCAAGGCTGGGGTGGACAGAGCTTGGCGCACCCTGGGACAGTGGGAGGTGTCCCTGCCCATGGCAGGGGGTGGAATGAGATGAATTTTAAGGTCCATCCCAACCCAAACCATTCTGGGATTCTGTGATGAAGATTTGGCCTTTTGGCTGTTCCTCTGACACAAAGTGGCTCAAAAGCAAACCTTGCAGGCACGGGAATTCCTGAGGGGTGTGGGAGTTGGAGGGCAGGAGGACAGCCTGGAGCTCGTTCCTGTGTTCACAGCCATCCCTTTCCCTCCTCCTCATGCTCAGCTCACCCTGTAACCAGCTCAGGTCCCAGTTTGTGCCCAGTCACCACCACAGCTCCCAAGTGCCCGTGCAGCATCACCTGTGCAAAGCTGGGGCAGTGCAGTGCCCCCTCAGCAGGAACCTGCACCTGGGGACCTCTTCTGTCCCTTCCAGGATGGGTGATGCCCTCCTGGAGCAGAGCCTGTGGGGATGAGGGATGGCACGAGTGGATCAGCGTTCCTGGTCACCCACAGCACTGAAAAATACCTCCCATGGCAAGTCCAGCCCCAGCTAAAAACATTTCAGACTCCTCTTGCCCAAATCCAGCTAAAAAGAATTGACTCCTCTTGTCTGAATTCAGCTAAAAACATTCCAGACTCCTCTTGCCCCAATCCCCAGCCCCACTGTCCTCAGTGACCCCGAAGCCTTCCTCCCCCATCCTCGCTGTGTCCATCACTCTGGAGGGCAGAAGGACAGAGTTCAGGCAGAGGAGAGCTTGTTGGATGACCCTCTGTCCCTCTCTGTGCCTGGCTGCATTCTCCAGACAGCTCTTGGTGCCTCTCCAGAGCTAAACACGGCCTGGGGATGGAATTCTCCCAATTCCAAGGGCTGCTGGGCCAGTGCTTGCCCTGGCCTTGCTGCCCTGAGGAGTGGAAGGCAGGGGGATGCCACATTCCTCCGGAGCCAGCAGCACCCAGCTCAGCCTTTGTGAGCACCACGAAATTCCCTGGGACTGGAGCAGAGCTCCCACGTCCAAACAAAGGGCTCGGGAAGCAGGAGTTTGTGCAGCTCAGGAGTTTGTGCAGCTCGGGTTTTTGGCTGCGAGCTGGAAACCTTAGACTCTGTGATATAATGAGTCAGATTCTCATTTCTGTTAATAAGCCTCAGCACCGTTCTGGCAGGGTCACCCAGCAATAAATCAAACGGGATTCATTCCCCTTTGGAAGCTCTTCCACACTGCCAGAATGCTGCAAGGAGGTGGGGCTGGAGCAGAAATATGAACCTGGCCTAGAGAGGGTTTTTCTACCCCTCCAAGGGAGCCATCAGCCTTGGGATTCACTCACAGGGTATGTTTGCTCCATCCCTCCATCTGGCAGCTCAGGAAATGGGCTGTGCGAGCCAGAAACATCAGAAAATCACAGAAAAATAGGGATGGAAGTCCTCAGTGTATTCCCAGGGCTGGGAGAGCCAATGAATCATACCTGAAGGGTTTTTGAGAGGCTTTTGTCTGGCCTGTTCCTAAAGATCTTCCAAGACCTCTCTCACTCCGAGCAATCTAGTCCAGAGCTCAGCTGTTCTTGCACTGATGTCCACCACCAAGATTCCTGGCTGATATTTAGGACTGGGATGTTCAATTTGAGCTGTCAGGACTTGGAAAATCAACATTCCCACCCTCCTTCCTCCAGCCTTGCTGGTTTTAAGGAAATGCCACCTTGCTCCCTTCTTGATGTTCCATTTTTCATATTGAAAAATGATTATTTCAAGGGTTTTATCCCTCAGAAGCAGCATTTTTTATCTCCTGAAACATGGACAGAAGCACCTGTGATCCCCAGGAGTGCATCTGCAGCTGGAAGGATCTGGATGCTCTTGTGGCTCTGTGAAATCCCTGCCCTCCTTCACTTCCTCCTGGGCAACATTCTTTGCTGTTGCTGTTGGAAGAACTTGGTGAGAGCCAGGTCTGGGTATCCCCAGAGAGCCAGGATTATCCCATTCCAACCAAAATCAATGGGAAAATGCCCAGAAACTGGACTGGAAGTGACACAGAGATCAGGAACCCTAATGGATGTCTGAGTGATGTCTGTACCTCTGCCAATCATGAGACCAGTGTGGAATATTAAATATAAAATACATTAAATGTATTCTCTCTCTCTGTCTCTCTCTCTCAATCTATATAAATATAAAAAATATATAATAGAAAAATATTATATGTACTTTATAGATATAAAATATATTTTATAATATATTGTATTAATAGATAATTTATATAAACTGTATTTATATTATACCAATATATTAATATTATATTATATATAACATTCTATACATATAAAATATCATTCATAATATATAAAATATAGAAATTACATAAATATAATATATAATATAAAATAAATATATAATCTATATAAATACATATAATGTTTATATGAATATATATAAAACCAAAAAATATATAGGAGAATACATAAAAATATATAATTATTTATGTATATAATTATATATATTTATATACAAACATAAATATTTATATATAAACATATAAATATTATATATGTATATATAAACATATAAATATTATTTCTATATTAAAATACATATTTATATATATTTATATATAAATATATAAATATTTATATAAATATATAGGTATAAAAATTATATATATTTATATGTATATATATGTGTATATATATATATATATAAATATATATAAAATAAGTGGGTTTTTAAAAAAGATATTAAATATAACCCAAGCTTTTCCCACCGCATGCATCCACCTGCTGGAGGACCAAAGCAGTTGGCACTGCCCCTGCCAAGCCAAGCCAAGCCAAGCCAAGCCAGACTCACCAGCCCGTTGCAGTTGCTGATGGCCACCTTGGAGCTGAGGTACTGGTCCTGCAGGTGGCCGGCGTAGTGGCAGTCCTCGTGGAAGTCGTGCTGCCAGTCCATGCCATCCCGCTTCCAGTACTCCACGGTGAAGTGCTCGGCCAGCAGGTTGGAGTGCAGGGTGAGGTTGAGCAGGAACTGGGTGTGGTGGGCAGAGACTTTGTAGAAGACCTGCTGCTCCGAGGGCTCGTAGGGCAGCGAGCGCCGCGGCCGCGGCTTCAGCTGCCGGCGCATGTCGAAGGTGAGGAAATCGCCGTTCTGGTCCACTTGGATGGGGAAGGCGATCTCATAGTGATCCAAGCTGGAGAGGAATTCCTCTGGGGAGGGAAGGACAGCATGGCAGTGGCAGCCCTTCCTGGATTGCCAAGCAAATTGTATTCTATTTGCCATCTGGATGGCAGCTGTCTTCTGTTCAGTGGGCAGTTTTCCTTATCTCTTCCACACCCACTGCTCCCTCCAGGGAGCCATCTGCTGATAACAGCCTATGGAATGTCCCTGCATGGCTGATAAGATCTACAGCATCCCACTGGGAGATGTGAGCCCAGAGGGAGGAGCCAAGCATTCCTAACTGGATATAATCTGAGATTCTGGAACACAGATTCTGGAACACAGCACAGCTTCTCCACTGGATTTCCCTGAGGAACAGCTGCCTCTTCTCCTGGATCTTTAGAGGAAGACTACACCTTTCTAAGGGATCCCTGCTCCAACCCAACCACACCTGACACTCCAGGAGGACTGCAGCCACAATTCCAATGGGACTGCTACCAACACCCTGACCAGCAGGGTGTCAGGTTGTGTTCTGACTCTGTCTGTGTTGTTTTGGTTTACTGCATTGTTTATTTTATCTTTTTTTTCTTCCCTAATAAAGAACTGTTATTCCTGCTCCCATATTTTTGCCTGAGAGTCCCCTAATTTAAAATTTATAGCAATTCGGAGCGGGGGAGTGTTTACATTTTATATTTCAGGGGAAGGTCCTGCCTTCCTTAGCAGACACCTGTCTTTCAAAACCAAGACACAGCCTGCAAAGGGAGTTGGACATCCAGCAATTCCAGCCTGAGCGCAGTGCAGGTGGAGGGTCATGCTGTCCTGCCACAGCATTCCAAAAATTGGGATTCCCTGCCTGCAGGATCCTGGGAAATGCCCCAAATGCTGCAGCCTGCAGAGCCTTGGTGTAGCAGTTTTTGGAATGTAACTTTTTCCTCTGCAGGTGATGGAGAGGAGGAGCCTGGCCCAAAGGGCCCTTCAGGACACCCTGATTGTGGCTCTGGACCTGGAGTATCCCAAATCCTTTCATCTCCACTGGGCAGAGGGAATCCCAGCTTTGCAGAGCCCAGCTCTGAGCTTTGGAGGGTTATTTTAACCCGGATCCTTCCAGGAACAGACCCAGCAATGAGGTCTCTTCAAAAGGAGGCAGAAGGATCCTTGGGGTGACAATGACTCAGGGGAAAATGTTATTTAATTTTCTCCCTGTGAGTTGTCAGGACATCTGCAGCTGCCACAGGGAGCTGCTGGCTCTGAGAACACAAAACAACAGCACCACCCCAACCTCCCCTGCAGTGAGAGCTGCAGGGGCTACAGGGGCACAGGGTCCTTGAAATGCCAATCTTGACACCAAAATAAGAGAGAGGGCCACCAGAATTCCCCCAGTGGTGCTGAAAATGAGCAGGAGGAGAAGTCAGATGTCCCGATTCCCCAGCCAGGTCTCTGTCCATGACCCCACCCTGCCTTCCCAGCTCCCTGGACTGGTTTTTATCACTTCAGCCTGGCTTAGCAGCTCCTCTTGGAGCCCTTGAGCTGAGCCTGTGTGGTGCCACCCAGGCTGTGCTGTGACAAGGGCACTGTCCCAAACCCCTCCACCTGTGCTGGCACAGCAACGCAGCTCTGCAGGCTGCCAAACAAACTGGCACCCTGCAACCTCAGCAGAAACTCCTCCTGTTCAATTAAAATGTCCCAGGGACTGCCAGAATGGATCTGAGCAGAGATCTGGTGTTGGAGCCCTGGCTGCTGAGAATTTCAGACTTTCTGTGCTGCCAGGCACTGACCCCCAGGAGAACACTGCATTTGACCTGAGGTGGAGAAGGCTTCCAAAATGGAATGATAGAACTGGGATTGTGGTGTGGAGTTTGAATAGAAGTGTGTGATATCACAGGGGGGAAAACTTAGAGTTGAAGGGTTTAGAATATAGTAATATATATAAAGCAGATGGAGGTTTTAGGGTGGAGGCTGGTCCTTCTGCTTCACCTTCCTCTGCTTTGCCTTCTCCTTCTTATCTATGGGTTTGGGTGGTTTTGTGTAATTGGATAAAAAAGTCCACATTGTGGGCCATGGGTGGTTGGTTATTGGGTTAAAAGTAAAAATAATTTAGGTAGAATTTCTTAATTGGACAGTTTATCCTTAAAAGGCCTTGTAGAGAGAGAGATGGGGCTCCATTTTAGTTTGTTAGAGTGCAGTGCTGTAGAACTCAGGGTTTGTGAGACTGTGGCATAGATAAGAACTGATGAACATCTGAGTCTGAACATGAATTACCATCTCCAGTGCTTTCAATCCCGACCCTGGCAGAGGCAGAAAAGAAGGAAAGGAACTGACAATCTGGCTTTGTCTGACAGCCCTCAGCCCCAGCAGCTTGGGCAGCATGGGAAATATCCATGTGCTGGACCAGGACAGCTCCTCCTCACTGAGTGTCCTCCTGAACCCCTCATGCCTGGAGGGTTTGAGCCTCCTGAGCCCTCATGGGAGATTTTCCCTCTGTTCCCTCTGGAAAGTCTTCCTGTGCTTTCTGCATCCTACTTGTTGTTTCCTGAGCAAGAAGGAGGGCCCTGGCTGCTCCAGGGTGGCTGAATTTTGCCTGGCTCCACAGCTCTCACCTTCAGAGCCTTCGCAGCCATCAGAAGCTCAGCCAGCTCCAAACTGCACTCTCACCACAGGGCAGCACTGGAAAGTTTCCTTTTCCTCTCTTTTCCAGTGTGGGAGCCTGACAGAGTGGTTTCCTTGGCCACCAGGAATGGGACAGCCCTTCCACCCTCTGGGATTAGGGTTGAGCTCCCATCCTTCCTGACCATAAACTCTCCTGGCACCTCTGCCTTGCCAGAATTAATTGTTAGGGTTTTAACTTCCCATGCTCCAGCTTTTCCTCCATCCCAGCACCTCCCTGTGATGGGGCTGGGCAAACAAGGGTGACTTTTTGCACTTAGAAATGACTTCAGGCTTGGAAAAATTTGCTGTTGGAAGTGTTTTGTTTTCCTTTTTGCCTCTTTGCAGTCCACGTGGGCTTGGAAAAGAGTGAATCAGAGGGTGGTTTGTGTTCGCTGTGGCTACAAAGCACCTGGGACTCAGGGCTGGAGGCTCTGATCCTGACCTGAAAGGCACTTCCAGGAGGAAAAACGTGTGCAGAGCTGAGGGTGAGGCGGTGTGTGAGAAGCTGGTGGTGCTGGACACTGCATCTCCTCAGGGATGGACACAACCAGAATCACTCTGGACATGAGCTAAACCACGACACCATCCCATCCCGTCCCATCCCATCCCATCCTGTCCCATCCCATCCCGTCCCATCCCGTCCCGTCCCGTCCCATCCCATCCCGTCCCGTCCCTACCTTGTGACTGGAAGGGGAAGCCGGGGAAGGTGCCCCCGGCCAGGCCGAGGGTGACGGTCCAGGTGAGGAGCCTCCAAGCTGTGGCCATGGTCAGCGCCGCTCGCGTCGGAGCAGGGAGATCTGTGCCGGCTGGGAGGGCGCTGTCCCCACATGTCTCTCCCTTGGCCACCCCTTATGTCCAGAGAGGAGTCCCGGGTCCCTCCGCAGGCATCCTCGGCCGCTCCGTGCTCTCCCGAGGCCGGCGGGGTGGGCAGTGCCAGGCCAGCACCGCGGGCTCAGCACGGGCTCGTCCCCAGCCCCCGCATCGCCCCTGCGGGTGAGACAGGGATGAGCGAAGGGACGGGGGAGAAGGACTCGAGGCGGGCAGGGGAATGAGGAAAGCGGGGTCCAGGAGTGGGATGGAAGGAGAGGAAAAGAGGAGAAAAGGATGGGAAGGGTTTGAGGATGGATTAACCCCGTCGGCTCCTGCTCCGCACTGCACTCCCGGGGGTTCTCCCAGCTGGTACCTGCGGAAAGGAGCTCAGGAGCAATGGGAATCCTTTATCCTGTGGCAGCACCCTCTGGGAAGAGCAGCCCCAAGAGTGCCCTGGGTCACCTGATCCCTTAAAGAGAGCAGGAAATAACAGCACTGGCAGGGGGGTGGTGAGCAGCAACCCAGAAATCCTCTCTGGGGCTTCCCTGGATTTCAAACACGCTTTAAGGACTGTCACTGCACTGAGGAAAGAGCACTTGCTCTCAAAGTGTACTGGCTGAACCTAAAAAAGTGATGGAAAACAAAGAACCCATTCAGGGAACTCACCCTCAACCCCATCCACAAATGGATCCCGAGATTCCAATCGCATTTGTTCTTTAAAACGCTCTGCTAATTGCTCCGGTGAAAGATTCCTGGCTCGCAGAGAATTTCCACTCGGTCTGAGGCGATTACATCAAACTCGAATCGTGCTGGGGACTTGCACAAAGCCTATGGGGTTTTCTTCTTGCCCACCCACTTCATGAGTATGGGATGAGTGCAGCACATCCCAGAAAACCCCAAATATCCCAGCGGTGACGCTGCAGGGCAGCCCGGCAGCCAAACCCAAACCTCCCTGCAGGGGTGGCAGATAAAGACCCGCAGCAGAGGTGCAGATGCCAGGGGCTGGAGCAGGGCTGGGAAAGGCAGGATGAGATCCCCGGGATGAGCTCCCCATGAAAGGCAGGATGAGCTCTCCGGGAATAGTGGGATGAACTCCCCGGGAAAGGCGGGATGAGCTCCCCGGGAATGGCAGGGTGAGGTCTCGGGAATGGGGAGATGAGCTCCCTGGGAACGTGGGATGAGCTCCCGAGCATGGGAAGAGGCTGGAGACGGGAGGAGGGTGCTCTTTGCAAAGGTGTCAGCAGCCAGGGCTGTGTGTGGTCCTCATCCAGCAAGGAAACGCTTAACCCCTGCCTTGCTGTGCTCTGGTTTAAAGAGCCCAGGGCAGGGGGGCTGGGTCCTCCTGGGATCTGCCCTGCTCCCCTTCGTGTCCTTATGGGAATCTGAATCCCTGAAAGTGAATTTCTGCTCCTGTTTTCCCATCTTTACTGTGCCATGAGTGGTATTTGTGCTGCAGGAATGACACCCAACACAGCCCAGGGATGGTGTAGGGGAGGTACAAGGGGAAATCCAGGAGATTATTCCTGCCCCAAATTCATCATAGAAGTCACAGAATGGTTTGGGTTGGGAAGGACCTTAAAGCTCATCTCATTCCACAGGGGCAGGGACACCTTCCACTAGCCCAGGGTGCTCCAAGCCCCATCCAACCTGGCCTGGGACATTTCCAGGGATCCAGGGGCAGCCACAGCTACTCTGGACAACCTCACAGGGAAGGATTTCTTCCTAAAATCTCATCTAAATCTTCCCTCCTTCAGCTTAAAGCCTAACCTAAATTAATAGTTTTTTCCCCTACTAGGCAGAAACAGTGGGAGACGAAACACTCAGCTTTAAACACACTTCAGAGTTGCATAACTTAAAGATGAAGAATTTTCACTGCTTATTTACAGCTAAGAATGGCCAAAGATCCTCAGTGAGGCCTCGGCCTGGACTCCCCAGTCCCATCTGAGGCCACTTGCCAGGTGTTCCTCTGCAAAGCCCAGACACAACGCGAGATGGCCACCAAAACTGAGCATCCTGTGAGTGGCCCTGAAAGAGGGGCAACTCCCACCTTGGGCTGCTCCTTTTCCCTGGGACAGGTAAGGGGAATCAGGGAGTGGGGGGAAGAGGGTTGGGGCAGGAATTGTGCCCTGTTCCGCCCCCAAAAAGAGGATGCTGAGATCCGGTGACAGCATCACCCGTGGTGCCACCCCTGGGCTGTGGCACAGTGAGGGCAGAGCCAGGGCCAGGCAAGGCACGTGGGGGCTGCTCCGTGCCCGCTCCAGCTGTGGAAATTGGGCTGGAAAAGGGAGAAGTTGAAAGCAAATCCCTCTCCTAAATCAGCATTTTTCAGCATCTCCCAAAGCTCGCGATTCCAGCTCTTCAATCCTGTCACGGCTCCAAAGCCCACGGAGCCCAGCTAAAGTGTATTTTCTCCTGGGCTTCACACGACTGATTTCCCCTGTTTTCCAGCTGTCAAACCCTTTTCCTCCAGGCTTCCCGTCCTCCCCCCGCCTCTCCATGACCCTCCGCGGTGCCCCCGTGTCCCCCCTGCCCTTCCCGGCCGCTCAGCATCCCCCGGAACCGCGGCCGGGAAGGAGCCCCGGCGCCAGGAGCCCGCAGCCTTGACCTTGGGGGAAGGAGACGCGTTGGGAGCAGCACGAGGCAGGAATTACAGCTGCAAAATTCCTGCGGGCCGGGCTGGGGGAAGGGCCCGGCTGCGATCCCTCCCTGCAGGCAGCGGGGAAAACACGGCCCCTTCCCGGCGGGGCTGCATTCCCAAAGCCCGAGGAGCAGGAGGAGCACCTGGAGGAAGGTGTTCTCCTCACAGGTGGATCCTTGCACCTCTACCCATGGGTGGATCAGGCAGGAGGAGCACCTGGAGGAAGGTGTTCTCCCCATGGGTGAATCCTGCTCTTCTCCTTGTGGGTGGATGCGGCTCTGAGGAGCACCTGGATGAAGGTCTTGTCCTCACAGGTGGATCCTGCTCCTCCCTCCACGGGTGGATCAGGCTCCAAGGAGCAGGAGGAGCACCTGGAGGAAGATTTTCTCCTCACAGGTGAATTCTGCTCCTCTCCCCATGGGTGGACCCAGCTCTGAGGAGCAGGAGGAGCACCTGGAGGAAGGACCAGGAGCAGGAGGAGCACCTGAAGGAAGATTTTTCTCCTCACAGGTGAATCCTGCTCCTCTCCCCATGGGTAGACCCAGCTCTGAGGAGCAGGAGGAGCACCTGGAGGAAGGACCAGGAGCCGGAGGAGCACTGGTGCTTCCATCCCTACCAAGTTTTCCATAACCTCACTGCAGCTTGCAGGATGATCCCGAGGATCGCGGAGCCCCAGCGGGACACGGGGCTGCCACGGGCGGGGCCGGGGGAGCTCGGGGACAGCTCGAGGACAGCTTGGGGACAGCTCAAGGACACGGCGTGACCTCTCTGGTCTCGTGCCTCCCTCTCTTGGGCCGCTTCCGATCTGCTCCTTCCCAAGGAATTCGCTGTCCTTGGCAGGCTCGGCTCGGGCTGACGCTCCCGGCTCCCCCTGCCAAGGGTGGCTTTGGCCGCGTGAACCCGGGCGACACGGGGGACAATGCCACCACAGCGGCCAGCTCGCCTCCTGCCACCCCGAGCAGCGCCGGGAAGGAAGGGGCTGGGAAAGGGGGTGAAATTCCAGCTGGGATGGAGCGAGGAGAGAAGAAGGAGCGAGGCAGAGGAGAGCTGCTCCCAGCTCAGACAGAACTCCCGGCAAGCCCAGCTGCTGGGCCGGCTCCAGGCAGCGCAGGGGAAGGTAATAGGAAGCAGATGGGCGATGCTCGGGGCCAAGAGGAAGGTTCAAGGTGCCTCCTAGTGCAGGGAAGAGGAATTTAACTGCTTTTAAAGATGCAGGGCCCGGCGGCTTCCAGGTTTCTCATCCAACTTTTGCAAATTATGAGCTCAGGTGTCCTTTTTCTTTTTTTTTTTTTTTTTTTTTTTCAACTTTGGCAAATTATGAGCTCAGGTGTCCTTTTCCCTTTTTTTTTTTTTTTTTTTTCCTGAGGGCGAAATAAATACAAACACAGATTTCTGCTTCCAGCTTCCCCCAGAGGGAGGAAATACTTTCAGTGCACCCCGTGCCAGGCCTTCCACTGACATCTTTCAGATATGGGAGCACTGGGAGCAGTGGAGAAGTGAGAGCAGCACCCCAGTGGGAGCACTGGGAACAGTGAGAAAGCAGTGGGAAAACAGTGGGAGCAGGACCCCACAGCTGCACCACCCCAACAGCATTTCTGGGCTGTGTTATTTTAAGGAATGAAAGCTCCAAGGTTCTTTTATTCTTGTGTAAAATGGGGATTGACACCACCCTATAACCATATTGGGGTTATCATGGAGCCACATCTCAAAGCTCGGTCCCTTTTTGGTCCCACGTGCCCCCTGACCCTCCCAAGGGGCTGCTCAGCCCCACAGCAGCCCTGGCAGCCCCTACAAACAGCACCACAGGGGTTTCTGCTCCTCCAGCTGCTCCAGCCTGGGAGTTGTTCCACCAGGTCAAAGTTTATCTCTGGGGGAAGAGCTGTGAGTCCCAGACTGGCCCCACGGGCCTCATTTTCTACGGAATCCAGCTAAAACACAGCAGGGACTGCAGGGGACTGGCAGGGGCTCAGGGGCTGTGCCAGTGCGGCCAGGGCACTTGGCAGCAGCAGCAGCAGGGGGGTTTTCAGGATTTCCTGGAAAAAGGACCCACATGGGTCTCCTGCTAGCCACGGTGGGCTCTCCCCTGCTGCTGGGCTCCCAGCTGCCCTTCAGGACACACAACAGCCCTTTAGTGCCTGCAGCTCCTGGGTGCTGCTCCTAAAGTCACCTGAAGAACAGTGCCCCTGTCACCTGCCGTGGCTGCTTTGAGGAGGTGACGCCTCAGGTTTAGCTTTTCTATTTTTCAGGTTCTGTGCTGCCCAAGGTGGATCCTTTTAATTGAGGCCTTTTAATAAATCCTTGCGTTATTCTTTAACTCTGTCTAGTCTCTGTTCTAAGTCAGCCTTCACAAGGCATCAGAGGGCCACAGATTTTGGCTGCAAAGCCTCAGCTGGAATCAACTTTCACCCTTCCAGTGAAGATATTTTTCCTCATATCCAATCTGAACATCTCCTGGGCTAATTTGTGTCTGTGTCCCATTGCTTGTTCCCTGGGAGCAGAGCCCAACCCCCCTGGCTGTCCCCTCCTGTCAGGGAGTTGT